TGAACATTTTGGAACCTAGCCAACAGGACATGACCTTTGGTACAGTGTGTTCAAAGGGACGTCGGCAACTCTGTGCCGGAAATCGTCATCGCGAGGATTGTACAATAGTCGCGGCATTATGTCGCCCAAGGAATAAAGTAGTCGTCAGCCCACTGGGATCGGACATGGCAAAAGAGGTAACGATCCATCGATTAATATACTTCGACCACGAAAATACGAGAAGTCCATGTGTGAGGGGTTGCACCACAAAGGTCGGAGCGCTGTGTAGGTGGCCAATAAAGGGTGCAGTAATCAATTCCGCCTAATATCAACATCCCGATGCCGTTCGACGATGCAAGCCCTACAACTTCAGCCTCTTCGGCCAACTTTTCGACGAACTCTGCAATACAATAACGGAAGATTACACGGCGTAAACTTATTTCCGAGGTTACTTCCGGCAAATCAGAACGCGTTGAGATCCAAGTCATTCTACGTGTGAATCTTCTTGGACTTCGCGAAATCCAACATTGTTTATTTTCGCGGCACAAACCGGCTTGCGAGCCCATGGCTTGACGACGAGGGTTGCTTAATTCTGTGCCCAATCTATGACTTTCAAATCGTCTCTCATGTACCTATGAAGACGACAACAGTCAGTCTGTCATGCCTCTTCTCTCAGACACAATGTTTTGTTTTCTGTCTTGATCTGCGATTCACATCCATTATTGATCCCGATATTGCCACGTGTGGTCCTCTTAGCTGAAAATGTATAGACCCAAGACGCAGGCCAAACCTGGGGGGTAATATATTACGCAGAGCGGCCTCGCATGCAGGTCGGAGGCCGGGGGTAGTATCCGGCTATATCTCAGCATGCCAATTCCGGTGACCCAGGCCTGCAATACTAGTGTCGTTCCGGAAACGTTGCAACTGGTAAACGTCATGGCCGACTCTTGGGAGGTTATATCAAGGGCCAGGATCCCGATGCCAAGAACACGAGTTTTTGTTTGCGTTGCCAACCCCTTTCCATAGCCTCGCTCCAGTATACGATCAGGCACCGGTATCGCTCCGAATCAAACATCATGCGTTGGCTGGCGCCTGTTCTTCTCTTGGGCCTTGCCTGTCTTTCGGCTGCGCACGACAATGGCCCCGTTCCCAAGTTCGTTGGCGGACGCAAGCTGCTGTCCGGATTGAGGAGTAGAAAGGAATTGGAGAGAAGGGTATCAGGAGCTCGATTCGCTCATGAAACCAAAGACTTGACGGGGCACAAGAGTGAGGATGAAAGTTCGACCATCAACTCCCGCGACAACACGAGTGGGAAGTGCGGTCCAAACCGAGGAACTTGTGCAGCTGGATATTGTTGCTCCGTTGAAGGGTGAGAACCCCGTTCTTTTTAGTATTCGCACGCATCTGTTCGTCATGAGACACTGGCTTAGAATCGATCAAGGTGGTGCGGTCTAGGCATCGACTATTGCGAGGCTCCAGATTGCCAGCTCAGCTATGGCCCTGGCTGCGACGGAAACTCCAAGCCGACAGGAGTCGACACTTCGACCATCGCGCGACCGAAAGTGGGAAGTGTTGAATACGGCGGTGTTGGCATATATGACTGCGTCAACGCGGGTGATATTGCCATGACTTTTGATGACGGTCCCTGGAACTACACCAGCGACCTCCTGGATAAGCTCAAGGTGGGCCCTGCCTACTTGCGCGTTATAATCAAACACTTGGTTCTAACCTCTTGTATAGACATGGAATGCCAAGGCGACGTTCTTCATCACGGGCAACAACATTGGAAAGGGCCACATCAATGATCCTGCTCTTCCGTGGCGGGCCATCATCCAGGTATGAAATCAGAGTATTTGCACATGCAATGATGCCAAAATACTAAGAAGGCGAACAGCGAATGGCTGCAGAGGGCCACCAGGTTGCCAGCCACACTTGGTCGCATCAAAACTTTAGTGATATAACTACGGTTCAGGCTCAAAACCAAGTGCTATGGAACGAGATCGCATTCAATGATATTCTGGGCTACATCCCAACATATCTGAGGTCAGTGAGACTTGCGTGTAAAAGATCAGGATGCGACAGAGATGCATATAGCTTGGATACTTGCTGACATCGTATGGCAGGCCACCATTCTCCATATGCGAGAGTGATTGCGAGGACTTGTTGGCGGAGCTCGGGTACCACATCATCTACTTTGATCTGGACACGGAGGGCTACCTTTACGACGACCCGACAGAGGTCCAGATCTGCAAGGACATCTGGAACGAGGCCGTGGACAACTCGGACGCCTGCGACGACAACTTCCTGCACATCGAGCACGACATCCACTACCAGTCCGTCTACAACCTGACCGACTACTTCCTGGCGTCGCTGTTCGAGAACAACTACCGTCCCGTCACCGTCGGCGAGTGCCTGGGCGACCCGCCGGAGAACTGGTACCGCGCCGGCAGCTCCTCCGTCCCGGCCTACGACTTCCCCAGCGCCACGCAGACGAACCCGGGCCAGTGCGAGGAGTCCTCGACCTCGAAGCGCACGGCCACCGCCCCGTCCCCGACCGGCGGCCTGGTCGTGAGCGAGGAGGGCGACTGCGGCAACAACGTCACCTGCGTGGGCTCCGAGTTCGGAAACTGCTGCTCGCAGCACGGCTGGTGTGGTAGCACCACCGACTATTGTGGCGATGGATGCCAGCCCGAGTGGGGATCCGGCTGTCTGAGTGCCTCCTCGTCGTCTGCCCCGGCCACCACGTCGTCTGGTTCCAGCACTTCAAAGACGTCTACCACTAGCCCGTCGTCGACTGTCAGCTCCACTACGACAGCGAGCAGCGCCGGAGTAAGTACCACGCCACCGTCCGCTCCCGCCCCGCCGCCGTCCACGACGGCACCCGGCACCACCACCACCACCCGAACCACCTCGACGAGCAGCGCGGCGCCTCCGGCCGAGACTAACCTCGTCCCTAGTAAAGACGGATCGTGCGGCAAGGGCACCGGGTATACTTGCCTCGGCAGCGACTTTGGCTTGTGCTGTACTTCGGGTAACAAATGTGCGCTCCTGTGTCTGCTGACGGGGTGTCAGCCCGACTACGGCACCTGTGCTGTGCTCATTGGGCCCGAGTAGTGAATAGGATGTGGATGTGGACGAGATTTTGTAGTCGTCTTTCTCTGAAGATTTGGAAAAACAAAATGAACAAACTGTGTGAGTTGATACGTTAATGGGAGGATTCAAGATGAATGTCTTGATTGAGAAGGGTTAAAAGTGCAAAATTGTATAACCGCAATAATCAAACATACCATGACCGCCAATACTTGAACATTTGAAAGATGAAAGATATAAAGTCCTCGAGTCCGTCGGATGTGAATCAAGTATTTCAAGAATAAGGACATATAAGAGTAGCAAGCACACTACTCCCCACGACTTTGTGGTTAATGATGACTCCCATAATCTATCGACTCTGGTTCTAGTGCTGAAGTGCAATCCTTCTATATCTATATCTCTCACGACCGGGGAAGCTCGAAACTCCTGCTCAGACCGGTGGCGAGCATGTAAATGGTGCGCAACATGGGCACGGCGACGCCCTTGTCCCTGGCCATCTTGACCACGTTGCCGACAATGGCCTCGACCTCGAGGCTCTTGGACGAGAAGGCGTCCGACAGCATCGACGGCTGGACTCCGGGCGGGCTCCGCACCACGGCCCGGCCGATCTGAAAGTCGACGAGCTCCTCGTCGATCTTGCTGTACCCGCACGCCTGCGCCACCGACGCGATCTCCAGCATCACGTCCCGGACAAACGCCCGCGCCTCCTCCCCGCCCGCGTCCAGGAACTGCCGGTCACGCAGCCGCGCCAGCGCGCAGATCGGGTTCCACGACGCGTTGACGAGCAGCTTGGACCAGCGCTGCTCCTGGACGTCGTCGTGCAGCTCGGCGGTGGCGCCGGCCGCGCCCAGCAGGTCGACGAGCCGCCGGGCGGCGTCCTTGGCCTCTCGGGGCGCATCCGCCGGGTACGTCCCGATGTGCAGGAGCTCGACCTCCTTGTGCTCGACGACGCCCGGGCGGACCTGCGTCGCCGGCAGGTACACGACGGTGCTGACGACGGGGTTGTCCGGGAACGCGGCGGCATACTCGGCCTCGATGCCGATGCCGTTCTGGATCAGGACGATGGCCGTGCCCGGGCCCACGGCCGGCCGGATGAGCTCGGCCGTCGACGGGCTGGTCGCCAGGGCCTTGGAGCAGACGAGGATGTAATCAAAGGTGGACTGCGCGCCCTCGGGGGCCGGCGACTTGACGGCGTCCGCCGCCGACCTGGCCACCGCCGGCCTCACGTTGAGCTCGTCGCCCCACAGGGTCGAGTTTATCGTGAAGCCATCCCGCGAGGCAGCCTCGTAATTGGAGCGGCATATGGCTGTGATGTTCGAGGCCGGGACAGCTCTGGAGAGAAGATAGGTATAGACGGCGCCGATGCTGCCTGTGCCGAAGACCAATATCCGGGGTGCCATTTTCTTTGTCTAGTCCGTCTTTTTTGCAGTCCTGGTCCGATCTACGATGCTCTGAACGAACGGCGGTCAGAGTCTCAAGAATAGAATAAGCAGACACAAATGCCCAACAACTGTGTATTGTGCTACAACATCTGGTTCATGTTATTTAGAACGGAAATGCATCCCCGCGCCCCCACCTATATCGGCCTGCTGCACGACCGAAGGGCGCAGGGCGCAAGAGCGAATATGACATCCGCCAGTAGAAGAAATGAGCATCAACAGAGGATGTCATTTTCGAAGTCCAAAAAGAAAAAGGCAGAGATAAAAGTTTTGATACGAGACTAGACCAAGTGAATTATAAAATTAACGAAACGTCCTACAAAGTTCTTAACGAAATACTTAAGCCTTTTGGTGTTGATGCCAATTTATCTTTCTAAAACAGAAAGAATAAAAGAAACACCTATGGAAAAAGCAATATCAACAACCAAAGAGACATATAGCCTGCCAACCAGCAGATAGAAAACTATTCAAAAAGATCAAAAAGGTCATCAATGATCGCGCCCGGGCTCGAACCGGGGACCTCTTGTGAGCACTCTCGACCGAGTATGTGAGACAAGCGTGATAACCACTACACCACGCGACCGAAACCATTGATGACGTCTTTGCCCTTTATGCAGGGTGATATTGATGGCGCGTTTGGAAGGCTCCGGCTGCATCCACTTCCTTGGAATTGCCTAAGCCTGGCAGTTCAGCCGGCAGCTGCGCTTCAATTGCGCTGCAACTGGAGCCACCTTGATCCCGGCCAGTTCCAGCGCTTTGATGTACAGATTATTTAACAGTGCGGCCAGAGATTTTTCGCGCGACCTCCGTATGGGTGTGCAAGATCACCTACATACCAAGCTCACCAAGCTTACCAAGCTGCATTATACGCCGGAGACGTTTATACATAATTTGGTTGCCAGAGATAGTATAGAGTAATGTCTCCGAGTCATTCACAGCATACAGAGTATATGCCTCTTGTGGAATTCCTAGAACTACATACTTTGCTGCCAGTTTAGGCCCTTGCGTCACCAGGGTTTAAGTATACATTTATAATTGTGACGCGGATAACACGGTTATCCGTGATGCTGAAGCTGATGCGATAGGGCTGAAGCTCATCATGGGTCCGATACCTTAGGCCTGGCGGCCCGTGCCGGGTTCCGTAGGTAAATATCACTCTTCCGAGATCCCATGAATTCCAAGCTCACCAGCTTAGAATTCAACCTCCCTAAGTATTTTCCTTCCCATAGGTGCGATCCTTTATCAAGTTCCCAAGGATTGTGACTAGTAAGTACCATTTTATTGACAGATTTCGATTAATCTCGGCAGTGAAATATCCCTTTCATCAGATATACCTTTGTGACCAAATGGATCAGCATGGCACGGTCTTGTGTTACACAGTAGTATTCACCCAGTTACCTACCAGCCTTACGCACACACCCACACACCTGCAGAGCCCTATTTGATAGCCACTGCCCAGATAGTTCTTCTCTCTTCTTCCTGTAACAACGATATACTTTCCTTCTAGATACTGGCGTGCCACCGATCCATCGCTCCCTGTTTACCGCAAATCAGCCCAAAATCTCGGAAACAACATACCTGTCACATCGATTCTATACCCCGAAATGGATACTCCAAAGTTCTCGAGCCGCTTTTCAGACCCCGTCAGATCGTTGCCAGGCTGTAGATCCAGCGCCATAGCCTGGGAAGATTGCCGATTGCGCGTTTCCGACAATGAAGACAGCATTTGCGTTGCTCTACAAGCGGAAGATATCTCATGGGCACGAGCTATCAAGAAAGAGGACAATGTGATCCAATGCAATCCCCAAGAGCTCGAAATACTCCGGTGGATCCTTGAGGAGAGGGGTGGAGAGGCTTCCACTCGAGTCCTGGGGCTCTACAGCGCTGTATACGCACCGCAGCGACGCTACTCGTGCCTCTTCTCACACCAGGATCTTGAGGCTCATGATGTCTTGGAAATGTCACCCGGTATGACCGAGGAGGAACTGAAAGAGTTTGGAGAACAGGCGATCAATCATCGCACTGTGCTTCTGTGCCCGGTACCAGCTTCAACTTGCAGACGATCGACTCATCCAGATATCAGCGAAGAAGTCTGCAAATTAACTGCGTTTTAGCCGGTGAGACAGATTCAATCGGCTCCAGAAGCAGCCAAAGGCATGGTCGATGTGGCCCCTGTTGTGACCTGTCGAGCTTCTTCCTCGGGACGGGGATGTGAAGTCTTCAAAATTGGTGGCTCAATGACAACATATCCAGAGACTCGAATCAGAACACACAGATCGCTTGCTCACTCAACAACTGTAATGCTCGATTTGACGAATATGCTCCACGGAGTTTGCTACCATAATGCGAAGGCAATTTCTCGTGACGTCAACCCTGAAACAGCAATCCATGACTCCTGGCAGGCTAATATCTCAAACTGCACTCAGCCTTCGGTACTAGCATGCCAATATCGAACGGCCGAAGCTCGCCCTACAAGGCTTTGGGACGTAAAGAACGGATTACTCAAAAGCGGTATTGCCACAGTTGAGAATTACCTCGCCGTGTCGTACTGTTGGGACGAATGGCCAAAGAAAGACGATGAAAGGCTACTCAAGAAGCTCAAGGAGCTGTCCGAACGGCTTAAAGTCCGCTATTTCTGGGTCGATAGATGGTGCGTTCTGCAGGATTGCGCAGTCGACAAGGCCCAGGAGATCCCACGCATGCAAGAGTACTACACGTGAGCAAGTGGTTGTGGTAAGTAATTTCTGATGTTATTATTCACCCGCTCTGGATCGTCTCTTGAGCACAAATTCCCTAAGATGGTGCTTCCATAGAGCAACTCAGACATAGAAGCGACTCAAACTCATCCACCATTTCGAGAAAGGCAATTGCTGACACGCGTTATTGTAGTGGTCCTGCTGAAGGAAGATGCAGAGCCGTTTGAGTGCGTGCCGCAGCAGGATGGTGTGATCTTGTCCGCCTTTCAGCAGTTGGTGCGTAACCAATCCGGGTTGCGGTCACTATTGTTCTCAGAATGGGCAAGCAGGGTTTGGACTCTGCAGGAAGCATTGCTGTCGCGCCAGCTCATCTACGCCGTGCAAGGTCAACTCATTGACGGCGACTTCATCTCGGAGCTTATAGCTTACCTTGACACTGCCTCTGAGATATACTGCGGTCCTAAAGACGAGGAAACGTGGATAGGTGGTTACGGCTGCTACGCTTGGAATGTAAAAGCTATGCCAGCCGTCTATCCCCGGCAATTCAGATTTGAAGAACGTCCTGAGACGTTGTGCATTCTCAGAACGGTCTTTGGAGGCGAGCAGCAATACGAAATGCTGCAATCGAGACGCCAAGGAAGCCTTATGCCCTTTGAGGAGGCACTGACTCTGGTGAAGGGAAGATCCGCAACCAAGAAGGAAGACCACGTGTATGGGGTCCTTGGAATATCAGAAAGGGGAGATGAAGTTCAAGTTGATTACGATATCACTTGGTACGCTATGATGGAAAAGTTGAGGAAGGCTGGCATGATCACTGAACGACAGCTTGCTTCTTCAAATTTCAACAGTGAACCAGGGCGGAGTTGGCTGCCTGAGTGTACTTCGGAGTACGGGCCGTTTCAGCACATTGACAGGCTCACCGCCTTTGTTCCCCGACCAGAACTCTCATGGTCCCAAGACGGAACGACCATTACGGGAGCAAGGTTTGAATGGACAAAGTCCACGTTTAACCAATGGCCTGTGCACAGCAAGTATGATCATGTGCCGTGTTTTTCTGTGCGTGGCAAGATTCGTTTCATTGATATACCAGGACTTGTTGCTACGGTCCATGGGATCAGCGAGTTTCCTTTGACGCAAGATAGAGTAAGCGGTACTCACATAATGCTTTGCAAGGACGTCAAAACCGGCGTTGAAGCGACCATCGCCATTCAAGTCACAGGAAAGACCACGGGAAAGCAAGTCTCTAGGAAAGACGGCTATGTATTGGAACTGATCCATTGGAGCGGAGGCAACATAGATCTACTGCAAGGAACACAGTGGCTTGTGTCGTAGATAATATGGACTGCACCTCAGTATGGGCGACAGATTTCTCTAGCTTAGCCGTTGAGTACCTGGTTAGATTCTTGGAGCAAGCCAGAGCCGACTGGATGTTGTCGAGATGATACGTAGCGCAGCGTCCACCGTCTTTCTACTATATAAAGGTTCATATGTACGACTTTGCCAGCGTGCAGCGTCACAGCTCGTGTTCCGCCCATGGTTGTTCGAAACAGCCAAGACGTTTATGACCGAACGAGTCCGTAGCCGGAAATAGTCGTGCAGTGGTATCTCCGATTTATCCACAGCAGAGGCCTCTTGTGGATCTTCAAGAAATGTCAAAATGCGGCGTCGACCCGCAAGAAACAACAGAAGCGAGTAGAATAACGACCAACGACCCCGACATTTAACGTTTGAGAGGACATGCACTGCGCCTCAGTATGGTCGTGAAAGATTTCTCCTAGTTCGAGGTCTTGAGTAGTTATCGGTAGCTAGACGCATCGAGGCAGTATACGCGATTCACACCGCAGACTTGATCATCAAGAACGCCACAACTGATTCTTCAGCCACAGCTAGCCCCGCTATTAGTGCTGGGAGACTTGGGTCAATTGGGCCTGGGCCAGCATTTTAGCTCCCGTCCAAGCTTTCGATTTCCAATGGCTGGTAGCGGCAGTTTGACATCATCGGTCGTGTTGTCAGTGCGTTGGAGGCCCTGGAACTGGGACTCTGTGTTGATCATGCCAAAACCTGGAAAAAAAACCACAAGCCTGGGAAATGATGCGCTATAATTGCCGAACGGGCTCTCGTCGTCATGCAGTCACAGGCCACTCTCCTCCTGAGACATAAGAAAGCCCCCGTATCGCCAAGGGCTCTAGATTCCTTCTCTGCAACTGCTCCTTCATCTCCATAGAGAGCTAAGAGCGACCCGCCTGCCAGCACCCTCTGAAACCGAGCGCATCACTCGCTGCCGTCCAATCAATTGACTCTGGTTGAGGCACCTCCGTGGTCAAACGCAAACCAATCTCCCAGCCAAAACCCTCAAAAGAGGCCGCGAGACAGTCGCTGCTCCTTCCATTACTTTCCCTTCAACACATAAGAGTATACAAACAAATCATCCATCAAGATGGCTAGCTTCATTGCAAAGAAGATCAGCACCAAGATCCTCGGCGAGACGATGGAGAACAAATGGGGTGTTAAGGTACGATATCTAACATACACATTTCCCGCCGTCGCAACGTACATGCTAACGTCTTCCCAATTACAGGATCCCATGTTCGAACATGTCCCCGCGACGAGACTCGATGGCAAGCCCAGCAAGAAGATGAAGAAGGTCAAGAGGGCCATTCCACCGGGCATTTCTGAGCACGACGCTCAGATCCTCAACAAGGTCAAGAGAAGGGCCTATAAGCTAGATCTGAGCTTGTTCAGCATCGCCGGTGTCCGCTTCGGCTGGAGCAGTGTCATTGGCATAGTTCCCTTGTGAGTTTGCGACAACCGTCCATATTTATAGTACCACACGCCTGACTGACGGAAACCAGTGCTGGTGATTTTGTTGATTTCTTCATGGCCGTGA